AAAAAAAAAAAAATTATTTATATTGATGATAAAAAATGTTACTTAATTTTAATTGACTAATTTGGCAGTGATGATAGAGAAAAAAAAATATTGTGATGTTAATTCCTATGTTACAGAGACCAGTGGACAACAACAGAAGTAAATATGGCAAGAGTTTACAACTGGGATGTTAAGAGGCGCCAGGCTGCCAAAGCATCTAGCTAATTAATGTTTTACAATAATAACATTACACCTACAGCATTTTGCACTCAATAATTTATGTTATAATGTATTAAATTTCTGATATTCATATTTGAAATGTTTCTGTTGAAAGGCCAGTCATACTGTCTTCCTATATAGCCATTGTGTGAAAAAATAATAACTAAATTTTAAGGTAGTGCTGCTTATTAATTTGTATTAATTTTGCTGTATACTAACATCAAAATATGCAAATATTCATGGTAGATCTAAATAAAATATTTTTCTATATCTATTATGAACACAAATTCGTTTATTTAGAGTTCTCAAGAATTTGTGTAGATATATTTTCTTCCTTGTTTGTTAAACCTTATATCCCACTGTTGGACACTAAAAGCAAAGATGTTTTTGAACAAAATGTGTAATGTACTATGTAATTGCGAGGCTGCTCAACATCTTTTGCTGTGCTAAACTTTACAACAAAGTGTTATCTTTTGTAATGCTTATTGCTTTAGTTTTTCCCCATAGTTGGCTAGTCTTTTTTGTATTCAGTAATGAGAAATCATGTTTATTTTTACTGAATACAATATTATGCAAAGTTTAACAAAACTGTTGAGAGTAAATATTGAACACAGAATTCATGGCTGTTCAATAAGCAATTTAAGTTAATTAAACACGCATGTACATAAAACATCGATTAGATTACTTCTAGATAATAAAATAACTGCTTTTAAAACCTTTTTTATTATTTCAAATGAAAAATTCAGTGTTGGTTTGTTGCAAAAGTGGAAACTGTATTGATTAAAAATTTCAAACTGCAATTGTTAGAAATCAGTGTTGGATGTACAGATAACACTATTTAAAATGTTTTTGGAGTTCAACCATTCTTGTGTCTAAACGCGGATCCACGCGAGACAATGTATTTTCTATTGTGTCTCATATAGGTGCATTCAAGCGATTAACACTGACTACATATTTGATTTGTAAGTATGATATGATATGATATTATGTGTATCAAAGACTGCCTCATTGGCCGAGTGGTCGCCAGTACGACTGCCGGGCAAGGGGTATCGGGTTCGATTCCCGGGTCGGGCATTACTGGGTTTTTAAAAAAAATCTGAGTAGTAGCACGGAGTTTGGAAATGCGCCCGGTATATGGCAATAAGCTCACCCCCTATTACATAGGACTTGTGACATACAATAGTGCAAAGTTGAAATTTGATACCTACTTCATTCGATTTATTCCTTGTCTGACTCTTCTAATATGAATATTTTATGAGCCGTAACTTTTAGATGACCGTAACATTATATTTTTTCCCGGCACTGAAATCAAACTGCGACCACTATGTGGTATTGGTATTTGATCTCCATTCAAATAGTAAATAGGTATCCAATTATTATTACTTTTTTAAGATGTAAATATTTTAGTTTATAGTTAGTTATATTTTAATTCGTAAATATTTATTTAATTTATAAATGATTAGAATTTTGTAATGAATTAAAACTTAGGTATTAAAAAAAAATCCAATGAAACATCATCGAAAATAACTGTCAAAGTATCGAACTATCAAATCATGTGTCAACTGTCAACACAAAAAGTCAACTAAAAAGTCACAACACGATCAGTCAACGAACGCCTGTTGTTTAGGTTGTAGGGTTTGTTGAGAGTTTAAATTTTACGATAATATTCTAAGATAAGAACCGTTAAATAAAATAACAAACGAGTAACGTAGCTTAAATAATTGTTTGATATATTCGATGAGACTTAAATAAGCATTATAGTGCGAGCCTTTAAAAAAGTAATATACAGAGAAGAGCACCATGTGCTTGTGAAGCAGAATCGTATATTTACAAGTCTGTCAATTTATATAACTGCAAGATGGTATTAGAGCCGAAAGAGAATTCAGATTTGCTCAAAGCAAGGGATAAAGTTGAGACCAATGGTAATTTAAAAAATGAAGACTACAAAGGTCCTCCGGATGGCGGTGTACGGGCCTACTCGGTCATGGTTGCATCGTTCCTTACAAATGGCCTTTTTTTCGGCGTAATTAATTCATATAGTGTGATATACACGGTCCTTGAAAAACATTTAAAAGATGAAGGAATCTCTAACTCAGAAAGTCGCGCTGGTGAGTACTTTAATGCATTTATTTTTCTTACTCTGCTAGTTTAGGTGTTTCGTCATTCGAAACGCCGTGTCAAATTTCATATCGAACTTGCATGTCTAAGCTTGTTAACCATACCTATCTAAAATGAATCCATACTATGTTGTCCCTTAACAAATATTTTCTATTATTACATTTTTCTCATTTAAAATGATTTCCAGATTTTTCTTATTAGAGGAAATAAACTGTAAAATATTATATTGTATCCTAGTTGGTCATATTTACAAAAAAATCTAGCCGCACTAAAACATAATATTTAAAAAAACAAAAACATAATGAAAACCCATTACTATCCTTTTGTGAATTCCTACAAAATATGTTTTGTTCCACATTTTGTGTGAACTGAATAATATGACCATAAAGAATTAAAAAAAAATGAATGTTGTAAGTACCATACCTATACATGTAAAATTACAACTTCCTTTTCGATGTGAGTGAACTCCCATTTAAATGCTAATAGCCTTTGTAACAATGTAGACAAAAAAATATAAAATATTTATGCTGTTTATTCAAAATCAGAACATTAAACATCTGCATTTCATTATGCTCTTATCACATTAATTATGTTTGTGGTCATGCTGAGGACTTGAAGGGTTATCATTACTGGTATCTGTATATACTATAGAATACTTCTGTATTATTATATACAATGACTATCATGTAACAAATGATATTGTATAGAATTTATACTGTTTAATTAATTATTTAATTTTAATAATCAATGTAGGTACTGTAAATATTGTTTTAAAGTAGAAACAATAGAATCTATTAGACTTTCTACTGATCTAAATATTTTACTAAAGATATTATTGTTTCTTTCTTATAAGAAGAGACCGGCTTAGATGTCTAATCACCAGTTAGTATTGCTCTGTTCAGTTACAAATTAATGCAGCATTGTTATACTTCCTGTTGTTATTTAAATATTCATAAATAAACTGATAAATATTGGCACTCTGTTAGTTTCATATTGCTGTAGATAATGCAGGTACTTATTCTTGGTTTAACCCATATTTATGTTTTACCAGGAAATCAATATTTTTGTACCAAATAACAACCTTTTATCAATCAATATTTACGCATCTGATAAAAAATGAATCATTGCTAACTTAGTTTTTAGGTCAAGCTACAGAAGGGAAATGAACCTTTCAAGTACCTACTTCAGAAGTAAATTGAAAACATCCTGAATGCAAATTGGACAGCTGACTTTATTAAAGTTTAATCAAGCAGTCTTGTAACTCTTATCCTATCAAATACTTCCTTAATTAGTCAGAAATAATTTATTTTACCGACAGACAAAATTGATAAATTAGGTCACTGTAATTTATGTTGTTCATTACGTCATTGTCGATGGTAACTTTATTTTTTTTACATTTTACCTGGTAACAGAAACATTACGATCATATTATATCCATAGTAAATTAGAATGGGAACAGGAAAAATTAAAAAGAAAACAGTGCTTGCCATTTATTATGTATCTATATCGTGTACGTAATACGTAATATTGACATTCTTATTTACGTTTTACGCAATTCAAGTATTTACTTGAATTCGATAGGAACATGTTTTGATATGTAAATCTAGTGTTTCACCTGAAACATAACTCCGGTAGGTAGGTACTTGATAGTTAATAGGCCAGATTGTCATGTGGCGCCAAACGCAGCGCACGTGGCGGGCGGGACGGCTGGCGCCCGCATCGAAGGCCATCGCTTCATTACATTCAATTTCATCATTCTTTTGACTCGTCGTCTTTGCAATAATTTAACTGCTTACCCAAATCAATAGTTCAGTTAATGTCTGTACTAACACCATTAAATATTATTAAATGGCACTATACATAATATTATAGCTTCTTACGAATATCTATGAATATTAATTACGATGGTAGGTACATTATGTCGCACAGCAATTCAAATACTAAAGATTTCTTTCATTGGTGACTAGCCAATGAACCTAAAATTTAATGGCTTCTTTAGGCAGTTAGATTAAAACCGACGGAATTTACGTCAGAAAGCAAAAATAAAAATTAAGTATACAATTAGGCGTAGGTAAAATAGTTTTTGTAATCTTCCTATTTTGCGTAAAAAAATAATTAAGAGATTACATGATTATACATCGATTGAAAATGGTAAAAAATGCTATAAAATTAGAATAATATGTTAGTTAAGCAACATTAATTAGACACTGTTCATAAAAATGTAAACGAGTATTAAAATACCCAAAAATTAGTATTTTATTCGGGTCCATCGCTTCATGCCCGGTACACAGTGCTAGTGCAGACAAAAGCATCGTATCCCGCGTACTGCGACTGGTGTGGTGATGACCCGATTAGATTACGAGACATTGTGTGTCACTTGTCAACTTTGACTGCTTGTTATATTTAGATTTTTCGACTCCACGTTGACTGATGAACACACACGTAGACTTGTTGTAACTACCAGTTCGACGCATTTATTCAGAATTCTAGATTTAGTGGCACTCCATCATTGTCTCTTGATAAATATTGACTTGTAATCTAATCTTTTCCGTACTAAGAATCATTTAGATCTATTTATCTACGTTTCATCCAATATGATCTCGAAATTAAATCTACGCCAGATGGTGAAAAACAAATCTAAATGTTTTCCGTGAATCTGACACACAAAACAAACCGGGTCAGAATTTATCTTTTTCTTGCAATTTCATAAAATAATTTCCTATTATTAAAATTTCATTTTTTATGTATTAACAAAAGTATTTATTATACATATATTTATTAACACAAGTATGAATAAATGCAAAATAAGATTTTATTGGTTGATTGCAAAAATTAAGATTTAGTAAAACTGCTGCATTTAGCGGAACACCAGATAGGTACTGCCCATTGCCCATTCAGCCACCCAAGTAAAAGAGTTGACTGACCGAGTTCTTCATTTGGAGTAGTGGTTGATAACTAGGTTTTCCTTCATTACCAACACGCAAACGTTGCGATGATGTTGATTGAATTAAGGGGAATTGGCTGTTGTAGTACTTATTGTATTGTACACTAGCTGCCGGTTGCTAACCTCTGCCCCGAGTACAGCGATTACCCCGAATCATATCTTTCGTAAAATTAAATATTCAACATAAATAGATAATGCGTTACGTATTGTTTTCAAGATCTATCTAACTATATCCATTCATACAAAAACAAGATTAACTTATTTACAAAAATGTTACTTAGGAACAAGAAAATAAAGATCAATAATAACGATTCGTAATGACGAAATTATGTTATTTAATAAACCAAACACGACACTCTAACATGCCCTAGATTCAAGTGATAGGTGAGATCCGTTTCGAGGAAATGTGGTCACTTAGTCAAGCGCTTGGTCAGTTTCTAGATTTATGTTGTGATGTGAATAATTGACGACATTGCAAATTGTCGCCAATTGTGTAATCGGACCAATCAAACTGTTAAAGAAGATCAAACAGAAAAACTAGTCTAGTACCTACTAGTCGAAGTTAATAGCGTACCATAGACAGTCTCCATCCGATACTGTTAGAATTCTACGCACGCTTTTAATTGGCATTATATTCTACAGTCTACTGCGCACAATTAAGTTTACTACAAATTGATTCAGCTCATGTCTTTAACTATTAACCAAAAGAAGAACATTTTATATGTTCGTTGTTGGTTTAAAATATTGGCGCCGATGGCGTAGTAGTAACTAGTCAAAGTACATTTCTCAAATGAAATTCTCTTACTCTCACCGATCACCGATCCGCTCCTAATAGATATTTATTTACTTTAGATTTGTTTAACACTGAACTTTTCTTTTTCAGCTCTGGTGGGCGCGCTTACCATGGGCACTACGTTTTTCCTCTCGCCCCTGTCTGGCGTATTGACTGGCGTGTTAGGTATCCGTTTAACCGCAGTGTTGGGTGGCACAATTGCAACAGCTGCAATGCTTTTGTCTTCCTTTTTCGTATACAATGTAGGAGTCCTCTATTTCACCTATGGTATAATGTATGGATTAGGCGCATCGTTTGCCTACACTCCCTCTTTGGCTATCCTTGGGCATTACTTCAAAAAGCATTTAGGTTTAGTAAATGGAGTTGTAACTGTAGGGAGTTCTATTTTTACTGTGATTATGCCACCCCTAATGGAATATATGATAAAGCACCATGGATTAGATTGGTTGCTTAGACTCTTAGCTGTCTTTACATTGGGCACGGCAGTATGTGGTTTTATTTTCAAACCAACTCCATCGATGGTTATGAAAACGTCAAGGGAAGACGATAGCTTGAAATCTTTATTAAAATCGATTGTAAACATTCAAATCTGGAAGAATAAGAAGTATAGATTTTGGGCTCTGTCCATGCCTGTCGCACTATTTGGGTATTTTGTTCCATACGTGCATATCAAAAAGTTTATCGAGAACAACTTCGACGATGTCAATACCAATCTACCCTTGCAATGTATTGCGGTTACATCTGGTCTGGGAAGATTAATATTTGGCTTCTTAGCTGACAAACCCGGTGTTGATCGAATCTTGTTACAGCAAATTTCATTCTACGTCATTGGAGTGTTAACGATTATTTTGCCATTTGTTAACAAGTTCGGCATATTGGTAGCGATTGCTTTAGGTATGGGAATATTCGATGGCGCATTCATTGCGTTAATCGGACCCATAGCATTTGAATTGTGCGGTGGTGCTTATGCGGCGCAAGCAATAGGTTGCATGTTAGGACTTGCTGCTGCCCCCTTATCAGTCGGACCGCCCATAGCTGGCTATCTTTACAGTATGAATAAATCATACACTTTGCCATTCGTCCTCGCTGGCATATCGCCTCTGGTCGGCGCAACTTTAATGTTTGCTATTCGTTTGCAACGAGTTCCTTCAAACGAAGAATCAATTAATACAAATGGTATCACTGTTCGTCCAGTTTCTGTACATATAGGTGAGTTCGAAAACCAGCTTTAATTATTCTAATACGCAACTTGTTCGTTCTTGACCTTACTTTTACTTTTTTTTTGTCTTATGTTTATTAAAAATCATTTGTGTTGATTACAGAAAAATCACCAAGCCTGTTACTTAGTAATGGAGATGCAAACCAACAGACGAATTTATAACGAAGTTTGATGTGATTTGTTCAGGAAACAGTGCTTAAAAGCATTATCTACGTGTGAAAAATAAGGACTCCAGTTTTTGAAAACTGCTCATACACTTTCCAGTCGTAACTGCAACCTTTAAAAAGGGTAATTGTTTGTGCACCAATCTATGTAAGTAGTGGAATCTATTTGATATATAATATCGAGTAGATGTTCTTGTTTCATAGAGTAGAGTCAATGTCTTACGAGTTTAACCATTGTCATATTTTCGTCAATTTTTACACCAAAATTAAAATTGCCTTATTGGCCGTTAAGTTATAGTGTACTGTTAACGAATGCGCACAATAGGTACGTATTACCAGACATTAACATGTTAATGCGCAGCTGAAATAATTAAAATAGACTTTAAACTATTCTCATAAGTTATTATTAATTACGTATGTATGCTTGATTAGTTATAAGTTTAGCGTTACAAAGTTCTGTAAAGGCATTTAAAACTAAATATATCGCATAATATGTATGCTATGTACGTTTTGCACTTACATGGTTACCGTTGGAAGTTCCTAGTTTAGTTTTAAAATGTTTAAATAGATTACCTTAATGTTGTCCTCTTATTTAGTGGTAGTTTAAATTTCTGAAATTGTCAGTGATATTTTGGAATTACCAAATGACGAATACCTTACTGTTTTATCGTTTAATTTGTAAAGTGACTTTGAATCTATACCCTGCACCCAAACACAACGAGCTAAATAATTACTTAGCACATGACTTGACTAATAACAGCTGTCGTAATATTAAAATTTGAGACAAATTGGAATTGCTTACATTTTGTGAAAATGTAACCTACTTTTTGGACGTAACCTTAGAGAGGTTGATGAGGATAATAAGTGGAAGCGAAATATTTGAGCATACGGTATTCAAGTTAATGTTTTTTGAAAACGAAAGAAGATAAAATTATTTATTGATTTCTTTTTATCCGTGTAATGAAACAGTCACATGAAACATTATTGTCAACAGTTTTCCTTTCGACTCAAGGTCGTTCGTAATTGATATTTTAATCAAAAAAGATGATCATAAATTAACCTCAAGTGATTCGTTTTCATTTAGATATCACTTATAAAGTAAAATCTTTGTTTCAATTTTTTTTTATTCGTGTGTAAGGTGCAGATAAGAACGGACACACAGTTTATTAGCTTATGGCAATTTAAATTTTTACAACAAACCCTCATAGACTTGGTCGTATTTACTGAAATATTAGCATTTTAGAAACGTCAATATTCGAAGCATTTAAAAAAATTGGTTGTGATTGTGATTGATTGTCAAAGATTTACTCAATATAAGAAGCAATGACTTGGTATCCAAAAAAAAAATAGGAAAACAATAAACTTGTTGAGGTTTCAGTAAAAGGCAGGTCTTTATATTTTATAATGAGAATCTCTTCATTCGAACATTTTAATATAGTTGCCTACGAATTCAAATAATGTTCATATAAATTAATTTGGTATAATATTTATAACAAATCACTATGTTTTACGTCATATTTACATAGCTACAAGCCATTGATTAAATTTTCCTGTTTTGGAGTTGACATTTCAAAAATGATTTACCAATATGCGTATTATTGCGTATTTCAAATCACATTTTTGCGAGGTCAGTTCCTTTTTTACCTTATAAAGGTCAAATTATATTATGTGAATAGATATAGTACATACATAAAATCTATATCGTCATTCAAAAGCTCTGTGATAATTCATAATCATTGTTAATGTTTTAATACAAATCATATTAGTAATTTATCTATAGTTACTACTTCATTAGGGCGTACAGTACACTGACGAGATACTTTTACCCATCTCACTTGATTTGCATCATGGGGTACTTTTATTCCGCTATGCGAGTAAAAAAGTTGAAGTTTGGCGAGTTTAGATTTAAAGGCCACTCCTTTGTAAAATTCCTCTAAATAAATTTATTAAGGGGCTATAAGCCCCTCCGTAGCTCGAAACTAGTCGAGTTACCTCGTCAAATAGTTACGTACGTTGTAAAACTTAATGAATAAGATGTATATATTGAAAAAATGTATCCTATGATGCAGTTAAGTCAAAATCTCGGTGGATTTTCTTAAAAATACTAAATAGATTTTTGTGCTCAACTGACGCAAAAGTCCCTCGTCTACGGGCCTTTATAATTATATAGATATCTACTGTTACATATAAATATGTATATTTATAAAAAGTTACGTTTTCATTTGAATTATATTTTATTGGACATTTAGGTGTAATCTGATATTAGGTAATTGATTTTTATTTGTTAAAAGTACAGACTAAATTATTTATATTTGCAAAAAACTACTAATGCCTATTCGATTTGATGCTTTAATCAATCGCAAATGAATACAAAATTAATTGCAACTTTTCGCTTATCTACATAGGACCATAAGCGAAAATTTACGACTAAACACATAGGTGTTTAGTTACATATAAATACAAGTAATCCAATTCAAAACAGACACAATGTTATCTGTTTGAATTAAATTAACAATTTTTAAAATTAAGTCTTATTTCTTACTGACTATACAGTCTGAGTTTTTATAAAGTGCACATATTGCAAAGGGTGAAAAAATAAACAATTTTATCGACGGAAAAATGTAAAAAAAATCTCAAAAAAAATTGATTTTTTTATGGGCTTTTATTTTTTTAAATCTCGGGACATTTTTTCGAAAAATTTTACATTTATTGTAAACAAAAAAAAAATGGTAGAAAAATAGTAATTTTTTTTCAAAAAATCGTCAATTATTAATTAATGAGGCTTATTTTTTAAAAAAATTATGGCTTTATTAGCTCGGCTTATTATTGGAGATCATTATTATTTTTTGTTTAGTTTTAATATCATATTTAGTTTAAAAGTAGTGACAGTTTATTTGCATGAGGTGCCAAGAAGAGATAAAAAAAATTTAAAAGCCCACAAAAAATTCAATTTGTTTTAGATTTTTTTTGACATTTTTTCCTAAAATTATTTATTTTTCACCCTTTTCAATATGTGCACTTTATAAAGACTCACACTGTATAGTCTATATTTGTGCAATGGTAATACAATTTTAGTTTTATATTATGTACAATTTAAATAGTACATAGCAGTAATTGTTGACCCTAACTCCCTATACAATATTGCGGAATGAATGACTACCAAAATATAATAATAAATATCTTTAACTATATTTTTAAATTAGTAGCGGGGGCGTAGTTTGATAAAGAGGGATTTGATCAGAATGGAAACGTATACAGGGTGTTAAGAAAGTTTAGTCCCAAGGTACATTATTGTAGATAGTATTTTACCAAATCTTCCGTAGAATATATATTTTGTATCATCAGATATATAGATTTAATATAATTTTGCATTTCTTGCTGCAAATTTCTTTTTTATCTCTGAATTTCTCGAAATAAACCTAAGAACGGTGTACCTAAACATGAATATACTATTTCGTATGAGCTAACTATGCACGTTCATAACTTTATATTATATTACCCTAAACTAGACCCTTTAAAATTATATTTATTCATATATTAGTTAGAATTCGTGTTCCTACCTCGAGTTTAAGATTATTTTACTTAATTAAATGTTTAAATTACTGCCTATTTTATTCTTTTTAATTATGCATTTGTAATATTAAATTTTATTTTATACGTTATCTGCTAATGAAGTCGTTAAGATATCATCTTTGAAACTTTATAAGCAAACTTAGAATTCTAATAATATTTTATTTATCATATTGTGTGAGGCGATATATTTTTGTAGAGGATTTCATCTCAATAATCAAATAATTTTAATAACGAAACATAGGCTGTCATCAGACGACCTGCTTTGCAGTAACCGCATGCTTTCGGTACATTCAACTGCGCGCAGTTTTTAATTCATGAAATGAACTTTACGTGGTCGCCTGTAGTTGTGAGAATTCAGAATATATCACCTACCAGTTGAAATTTCAACTTCACACAGTCAACTGCAAACGTAGTATAGCATGAAGTCTATTGAGAACCCGTTTGCGGTTCTCTTTTACCTCTTGTCCAACTGCATGAAGTTGAATATATGGACTGGATACTCACAACAGTCCGTCTGATGGTAGCCTTACAAACTTCGCGGAGAACCTAACGGGTAACCGCGGCTCCGGCTCGACGTGCAGGAGAAGGAACGGGGTGGTTTTTAGTCAGTAAGAGTCTGACACTCCCTCCCGCCACACCCAGGCGGGAGCAACGATTCGATGATTTTCCCCCCATAAAAAAGCCTTACAAACTGACATTTTGTAAAGTTTGCTATAGACATAACCGTATATTTCGTACATTGATTGAGTATAACTAGGAAGTGGATGTTTAAAAATAATTATGTGCAACCATTTTGCAAGTATCTATGTGCAATGCTTAGGTATTCCACATTAATATTCAACTGCGCGCCGTCTACTAGCAGGCTTTACTGGGTATGCTGATATCTTAATGTAGTTGAATTATTATTATTTAATTAATTTCTCAGTGGAAAATATGTATTTATTCGAAAATGGAATTTTCCTTATTCTTTATTATACATTTAAAAATGAAAATACACCTGTTGCCTATATAAATGTAACATAATAATACTTTTTATTATTATTGTGAGTGATAATGCTACTCACGATTTTTTATATCCGTGAGTACTGCACCATATCTACATACTGTAACAATACTGTTATAGTACGTAGGTATGATGTTACCTCGAAGAGCTTTTTATGTATACTTAAAAATTATTTACCATATTTTAATTTATATTTTTATGCCTTCTGTGTTTATTAATTGTTAATGTTATAATCCTCAAATGTTTCCTATTTAATTGTAATAATTTGTGCAAAAAGGACACGATGATTACCATTAAGAAATAAAATGTAATTGCAATGTACATTTTTAATGTTTGTTAAGTTACTGAATAATAAATTTTAATATTTTAACTTATATTTGGGTTTATTTTTCTGCAACACTTTCGACGTACGTAGTTGATGAAAACTCTCCATAGTCTGACGAAGCCTATTCGCTGTGCAGGAGCGAATACTTCAGAGGCATTGGACGTAGAAGCACGATAGGCAGCGCTTCCAAAAGAATGCACTCTCATTTCGACCTCCTCCAATGATGGTGAAGTGGTCTTTTGAGAAACCCATCGCAGTGGTTTTGATAATCTATAACAAATTAAAAAATAATGTAGGTAGGTACTAGGTACTTATAAAATGAGTCACGAAACATGCTTTATTGTATTGTTCATGCATCATAATAATACTTTTATTATTAAAAAAACATGTTGCTTTTAAGATAACAATAATAGCATGGGTAACTGATAATGATTCCTGTTGCACGACGTTAGGTAATAGAGAAAGGCATAAAATATTTAATACACTTTAAGTATCTACCTTAAACATGCAGACGTCAGCACATTAAGCAATTTAGTTAATAGAATTTTTACTTTATTATTTCTTAACAAGGTCGAAATTTTATCAAAAAAATGTTCTGCTTATTACAATTAAACTTAGGATACTTACTCGGAGAAATAATCCATATCCTTCATAACATCTGGTAGTTCCCGTTGGTCCACGTCGGGAAATATGAATAATAGTCCAATAAGGATCAGCGTAACGAAGAATTCTATTACCATTATAACTACGTTACTTAGAGGATGGAACAGAAATAGTAGGTAGCTAATTATAGACCCTATTTGGCCGGTAGCATAGCAACAACCAACCACTGTTGCTCGTATGTTGATTGCAAAAAGACGTGGTGTTATATTTAGTATCAATGCATGTGCAACAAGTCCTGAACCTAATGCAATGGAAGACAGGAAGCTGCTGATGGGGCTCTGTAAAGTAAAAATGTATAATTGTTAGTTTTTGTGTTTCTTAAGCCAACGACCTTTCTCAATCCAAAGATAGAAGAAAGTACAGATTCGTATGGACGCCATACCCAGTATTTTGAGTAAAACTGAACAAAAATAGCAAGCAGTAGTATTTAATTTTGCTCTTCGTAATTCATCAGGAGTTATTACATCGTCGCGTCAGTGTCAATGTTTTCGGATTTCTGCATATCTACTCAAATTATGTCATCTGTATAGCATTTTGGTTACTTAACAGATTTTTTGAAATCTAACTCGTATAAAACATCATTTATCCAATTCGGGTGCTGAACTCGAACTCGAGATTCTAATTTCTACAAATATGGTCATAGTTGGATAATTCGTAGTGGTATTAAATATTTTAGATATTTTTATAGTATCTCACCTTGTACGTATACGTACTGCCTGCAGTACAAACGCCTGTTATTAAAATATGAATCATCAGTAAGTATCGCAACATCAACTTTGCAGATGAATATTTGGTCAGGCACCCTAGTACAGTAACGAAGCATAATATTCTCAACAATGAATATTCGACATCCTGATTGCTATATAATCTTACATAAACTGAGCTCCATATAAAATAATACAGCATCCAAAATGAAATGCATACTAAGAACAGAACTCGTACGTTATACGTTGATAGCATTTTGATGCATGTGTTGGTTTCGTCCAACGTGTCATACGCCTGAAACGAGAAGTAACATTACGTAAGTATTGTAATAATAATATCAGGTACATATCCGAGACTAATTACTAAGTATAAACTTACAGACGTACTCTGTGGTTAACAGGCCTTATCTTGAAATCCTGGCAGAGTTTGATGCCGTTTGTTTTTGCAGCTTTTATTAGAATCATTTCTGCGATGTATATTTTTCTGTTATACAACAACCATTGAGGTGATTCGGAGCTCCACCTGAAATGAAAGTTTTGGCAGTGTTCATTTCGGCACAATGAGGCTAGCCAAATAGTTTTGCATTTCTTAATACGCACAAAACACGAAATGATCAATGTCTGTTGAAAGACACTTGACTGTTTTGCCATTTGTAAGTTTAATTGGTATGAAATATTCATTTCAGATTACCGAACATTTAACTGAATTTTCGGCAATGGAGTCTTATGGTTAGCTTAATTTGTCTCTTTAGGATCCAAATGGAACAACAGCTGGCTGTCGTTAAATTTTAATTTATTTAAGAATCTTTTACCTGTTTATAGATATGTTCATATTTTGTTTTCTACTTGCAATGCTAATGGTTTATAAGGAAAATAATAGCGTCGGTTATTACCTCAATAGGATTGTCATACATATAACTGCGTAAATGCATGAGATAAAACTGTATGTTTCCGTGTTTGGTGCACTGTTGGCTATGGGGACCATGCATGCTAAGGCTAACAATCTTGGGAACATCACTATAATACATAACCATGAACGCCAACTGTTGCTCGCTATTTCACAAACTGAAAAATTAAAGAAATTTTAATGGATGTCAACTCTTCCATTATCATTCAATCGAGAAGTCGCATATATCCTCGAATTGCAACCACCTTCCAATGGAGAGTGAGCAGCAGCATCGTTGAAATTTTCGGTGATCTAAACCAAAATCCCCTTCTGGCCTGCTAAGGGTGGAGATTATGGCAAAAACCCTCCTTTTAGTTCAGCTTAACGTGTATTCTGGTTGCCAGGTAGTTTGTACAT